AAAAAAAAAATATCGTTTTCATAATCAACATTAGAGCAATTTCAGGGTTCATGGTCTGACCAAATTCAGGATGTGTGCAGTCCTTAACCTCTTCATAATTGGAGTGATGCATACTAGAGACTTGGCTGTCCTCCAGATGCTGCCATGAGCCTCTGGCCTATGGAGTAACCCATTAAAAAAAATAATTTAATGCCCAACAAGATAGTTCAGCAGACTAAGCACGTGCTTAGGCAAGTGTAGGGACTGGGGTTTGATCCCTGGTGCTACATGCCATGCCAGCTCGGCCCCTGGGTGCACTGAAGCCATGTGGTGTTGCACACCTGTAATCCCAGCTCTGGGGAGGCTGAAAACAGCAGGATCACTATTAGTCCAAGCTGCATAGTGAGACCCTGTGTACCAAATACATTTAAAAATGATAATTTAATACATTGGCCAGTCTCCTGTGTCTTTGTCCCAGCGAGTGTTAGACTCATCTGTCCCCCCTGGCCCTCTTAAGAGGATGTGCTCTTAAGGCAAGGCCTCCCTCTGCCTTTGCAGGGTGGATTCCTGTGACACTGAGAAGTTAAGGATCTTCTGTTTAACCCCACAGTGAAGGGAGTAACTTGACGCCTGCTCATCACTATAATGATTTCCGGTTCAAGACCTATGCGCCTGTTGCCTTCCGCTATTTTCGGGAGCTGTTTGGCATCCGGCCTGATGATTACTTGGTAAGGTGCTAAGCTTAGAGCTCTAACTGCAGTGTGAGGGGGATATTTCTAGAGAAAGGTTTCTTCTCATAATTTTTGTTTATTTGTTTGGTCTTTTTTTGAGACAAGGTTTCGCTATGCAGTTCAGGCTGGGCTTGAACTCACTTTGTAGCGCAGACTGGGCTCAAACTCACAGCCTCTTGCCTCAATGTTCTGAATGTTGGGATTAAGGCATGCTTCAGCATGTCTGGCTTCTCTTTATAATCTTGTTGTAGTTTTCTTTAGAATAGATGTGCATCTGTAGTTGATTTGTGTACTGGGTGGGCCCTCATATGTCTGAATCTTACTGTTTCCTCTTGGCCTCAGTACTCCCTCTGTAGTGAACCACTGATTGAACTCTGCAACTCTGGAGCTAGTGGTTCCCTCTTCTATGTGTCCAGTGATGACGAGTTCATCATCAAGACGGTGCAGCATAAAGAAGCAGAGTTTCTGCAGAAGCTGCTTCCTGGCTATTACATGGTAAGAGGATAGGACACTTGCCACTGGGGCTTCCAACTCTGGACCAGTCTGGGGAGGCTGTCTTTAGCGGGCAAAACAGTGTCAGTCAGTGCTGTGTTTTGAGTGTGTGTGTTTGTATTTGTATTTGTGGGTGTGTACACACTTTTTTTTTTTTTTTTCCCTGTTCATGTCTTTGTGGTTAAAGGGATTTTTTCTGCCTTTTGGGGGGTGGTTGGTTACTGGGAATTGAACTTGTCTTTTTTTTTTTCTTTTTTTTTGCGGAACCGGGGATTGAACTCAGATCCTTGCATTTGCCGGTCAAGCGCTTATCCTACTGAGCCATCTCCCCGGCCCCCTTTTTTTTTTTTTTAAAACTTGTCTTTGTTTTGAGCTATATCAACCCTTGTTATTTTGGTTTTGGTTTTATGAGACAAGGACTCGATATATAGTTCAGGCTGGCCTTGAACCCACTGTATAGCCCAAGTGGTCTGTAACTTGCAGCAGTCCTATGCCTCAGCCTTCTGAGTGCTGGAATTATAGGTGTGCAGCGTCACACCTGGCACAGAAATTTTTCTCCTTGTTGCCAAAATATCTCGTTGCTATTACTATTATTATTTTTTACAGTACCGGGGATTGAACTCAGGACCCTGTGCTTGTTGCTATTATTAATTGCTTGATGTATTTATTTTGGGTACCAGGGATCAAACTCAGGACCTTGTACTTGCCAGGCAGGCACTTATGCTGCTGAGCTCTTTGGCCCTTATTAATTTCATTTTTTTTTTTTTTATGTGTGTGTGTGTGTGTGTGTGTGTGTGGCCAGCTCAGCCCACCAGGGGGCGGGGCTGGCTGGCATGTGGTGCTGGGGGATTGAACCGCGGTCCCTGTGCTTTGCTAAGCTTGTTCTAAGTAGGTGCTTTAGACCACTGAGCCATCTCACCAGCCCCTTAATTTCATTTTTTTAAATCTTGTTTTTATTAATATGTTTGTAGCACATTTTGATTAAATTCTTTGTAGGAGTTGGCACATGTACATAACACAATTTAATTCTTTATATACTTCTCTTTTCCCTCCCTCCTGTATCTCTTGCTTGTCTTTTGCAAAAAAAAATCTGTCTTCCCAGTTTTCTAATTATCCATCTTCTATTTTGCTCTTTATACTTTGGGTTTCCGTCTGATGCCTAAACTTGTCTGGTTTATTTCATTCTTGTCTCAAGGTGGGCACTTTCATTTTCCTGTAGATGACTCAAGTGTATTGTCTTTTATGACAGAGTGTTACTGTATTGTGTATAAGTACCACATTTTCTCTGGGTGTGTTAGCACATACCTTGTAATCCAAATATTCAGGAGGCTGAGGCAGGAGGTTCAAAATCATAGTGAGTTCAGGATCATCCTGAACTATGTAGTGAGTCCTCGTTTCAAAAAAAACCCCACATTTTCTTTCTTTTTCTTTTTTTTTTTTTTTTTGCAGAACTGGGGATTGAACTCAGATCCTTGAGTTTGCCAATCAAATGCTTATCCTACTGAGCCATCTCCCCGGCCCCCGCATTTTCTTTATTCATACATCTGTTGGTGGACACATAGGCAGACTTAACTGTTATATAAACCTGGGTACGCATGTATCACTATAACATGATTTTTTTTTTTTTTTTTTTGCGGGACTGGGGATTGAACTCAGGCCCTTGTGCTTGCCAGGGAAGCGCTTATTCTACTGAGCCATCTCCCCAGCCCCAACATGATATATATATATATATATATATATTTTATTATTGATTGGTATTGGTTTATTTAGGATGTTTGTATCTTTTTTTGTTTTTTTTTTAATTTATTTATTTTATTTATTTGTGTGTGTATGTGTGGCCAGCTCAGCCCACCTAGGAAAGGGCTGGCTGGCATGTGGTGCTGGGGGATTGAACCACGGTCCCTGTGCTTTGCTAAGCTTGTTCTATGTAGGTGTTTTAGACCACTGAGCCATCTCACCAGCCCTTTTTTAAAAAATTTATTTCTTTTTTTGTTGTTGTTTGTTTGTTTTTGCGGAACCGGGGATTGAACTCAGGCCCTTGCACTTGCCAGAGAAGTGCTTATTCCACTGAACCATCTCCCTGACCCCACCAACATGATATTTTTAATTCAGGAAAATATCTAGGAGGGAAATAGCTGAGGTGGATGCATTTTTATTTTTAGAAAAATATCCCATTTTTGTTGCCACTTTCCAAAGCAGTGTTGAAAGTCCTGTTTTGTCAGTGTCTTTAGTTCTGTTGTCAGGGTTTCCTTAATGGCATGAATCTATTAAAAGATACTTCTTTTTTTGTATTTTAGGGAATGGTCTACAAGGTGTTCAGGATCTCACTACTAGATCAGACTCTAGTGATCCTAGTGATCTGCCTGTTTACAGCCTCCCAAGAGCTGGAATTACAGGCATGGGCCACCACATCCAGTCTCGATTGCTATCTCAGCATGCTCTGGGGTAGGGCCAGCACAGACGGAATCCCCGTCCCCTGTGCCTGCTAGCAGGCGCTTTAATCCACTCAGCTATTTGTCTGGCCCTAAAGATGTTTTCTTTTGATGATCATTTTGATTTTGGGGAAGAGCCAGAAGCTGTACAATTCTAGTCCCACTGAATAAGGTGGGTGAAAACACTGCAGTGTTTTTAAAAACCTGCCTTTGCATTGATTGGCACTCAGTAGCAGCATTCACTGTGTTTTTTGTTTTTAAATGTTTTACCATTTTATTACATGTTTACATTAAATGTGAATAATAACTAGTTCTTTGAGGGCAGTGCACTATTGTTTTTCGAACATTCATGTCCAGAAATAGTGAACCTGTGTTAACATAATGAGCTGGGATATGCTGTGAATAACTGTCACAGTTAAAAAGGGGAGGCCAGGGGCCGGGGAGATGGCTCAGTAGAATAAGCACTTCCTTGGCAAGCGCAAGGGCCTGAGTTCAATTCCTGGTTCTGCCAAAAAAAAGAAAAAGAGGGGGAGGCCTGATAAAAAGGAATGGAAATGGAGATGTATAAGAACAAATAAGGAAACCAAAAGAAGCCTGAAACATACCATTTTCAAATCAGAAATTCTAGTTGCTCAGTTCTAGGTAATCGTGTATTGCAAATACCTAAATTCATCCTGAAATGCATGTGTTTGTATTAGTTAAACACATATGTTTGTATTTGTTTATGTTAGTCACATTATGCACACAGATAAAAAGAGAAAAAAAATATGATGATTAAGTGATGCTTTTCTGAAGGAAAATAGATTAATTCAATGAGGAGATACAAGATGGGTCCCTGGGCAAAGAAAGGCACTATCTGGAAGGTAGAAAGCACTGCATGGGTGGAGCATCCACTGGTCATGATCCAGAGGATACCTGGGGCTGGGGCAGGAAGACCAGGTGAGAAGCCATCTGGGCAGGGTCCAGGTTACAGATGCTGGGACCTCATTGCTCTGCCATGCACTGTGCGACCCAAGGCAGTGAGCATTCTACAGATGAGACTGTGCTTGGTGGTGATGATTTTAATAACCCCCACCCAAATGGTTGTTGCAAGCACTGGTGGGATTAATGCATCTGAAATATAAAACTAGATTTCATATAAATATATATATGACAGAATATTGAGAGATACAAACCCTTAAAGAACAGTGGAGGGAGGGAATTCATGAAGGACAGATATAGCATGTGACTTACTGGCTTGTTTTTTTTTTATTTTTTTTTTGTGGAATCGGGGATTGAACTGAGGCCCTTAAGCTTGCCAGGCAAGTGGTTATTCTACTGAGCCATCTCCCCAACCCCTCTTACTGGCTTGGAATGTTTCCTTGTAAGTAAAGCAGAACTACTGAAAGATTTTAAGCAAAGAAACAAGCACAGTTTCATCTTTGAAAGGATTAGTCACACTGTGATAGGTAATCAAATTGATATTACTTTGGTCAGGTATATTTTAACAGCGTGTTGTTAAAAAGTGTTGCTGTTTTCTTTGCCGCACTTGACTTATGGTCATTGATTTAAAAAACAAACCTTTTTGATGTTTAGCAGGACAACCTCTGAGTTCTTCAAACTCCAAAGCTTTGTAAGCAGGGACAGTGAAATTTGATGAGAAGGATAATAAAAGAATTCACTCTTTAAATCTCTATTCAGTTTCATGATTTTCTTGGTGCTTTATATTTGATCTGTGCTCAAAGTTCTGGTACCTGGTAGGATGATGAGCCTCATTTTGTAATGTGCCATCAGGGCAGTATATTATTTATTTATTTTTATTTTTTAAATTTAAATTTTATTTTATTTTGAAGAGTAAAAACAAAAACAAATAGAAAAAAAGACAAATAGGGTAACATACCACAATACATATGTTGCAGATTGTCAAAACAGGAATAGGTAATTAACAATGGTTGTTGCTGGGGAGTTGGCTCTGTAGAATAAGCGCTTACCTGGCAAACGCAAGGACCTGAGTTCAATCCCTAATTCCACAAAAAAAAAAAACCCAACAACAAAAAACAGTGGTTGTAAATTATCTATTTAACTGTAATAAATTTTTAAAAGTTTGAACATTCATATTTTTGTAATTATAATTTTATTTTGAAGAGTAAAAACAAAAGGAAAAACAAAGATCAGAAGCAAACAGGATAACATACAACAATATATATGGTATAGATTTTTCAAAACAAGAATAGCAGATTAACAATGGTTGATATATATTGTATTTTTATTATCAAATCTGTTGCTCAGATTAACACATTGGACATAAGATTAATAGTTATGAAAGATTGGACATATGAATGCATATTACCACTTGCTTTCAAGAAACCTTAAAGTTTTGTTCTTGTCTCTCTTATTACCTTTATTTAAATAAATTATTTTAAAGAGTAATTGATGTATTAGGAATGGTACACATTTAGAAGACAAATTGTGCTATGAATATGAAGAGAACAATATGCAATGTATTAATTATTGTAACTTTTCTACTAACCTGTTTTGAAGTTGTCTCGTTGCTATTTGTTTCTTCATAAAAATAATAAAAAAATAAAAAAT